ATGCCAGATATCAAGTTATACTACAAAACCACCATAATCAAAACAGCTGGATACTGGCACAAGAACAGAAATAGAACAGAAAAGAGAACCCAGAAATTGACTCAAGTCATTATGCCCAATTAATAGCTGACAAGGGAGGCAAGAACACACAATGGAATCATGACAGTCTCTTTAATAAATAGTGTTGGAATAATTGGACAGATAAATGCAAAAAAAAAAAAAAAAAAAAAGAAAGAAAGAAAGAAAGAAAGAAAAGAAATTAGGGAGAAACCAAGATGGCAGCATAGGGTAGACACCTGAATACAGCCTACCACAACAAATTTGAATTTAAAACTGAAAAACAGGGGAAACATCGCCCTGAAGCACTGGACGGCTGGCTGAGAGGAGGGTCTACCATCTGGGAAGGAGAGAGAAGGCATGCTGAACCTCAGGAACTGTGAAGGTGCGGTGAATTGAGTGCGCGAAAAGGTGACCACCCAACTTTGATGCTGGCTTGCTTGTGGAGTGTGGAGAGAGCAGACAGCTAACACGCAGCTAGCTTTCTTGTTCGGGAAGAAAACAGAACCACCCTATTGCTCTGATAGATGGCCCCAGACAAGAAGAGGCCAGACTTTCAGGCAGTGGGCAGAGATCTCTCAGAGGTGTGGGCCATTATTGCGGGACTTAGAAACCAGACCCTTGTAGGGAGGGGCTGATCAAAGCTTGGCTACACCACCCCGAGACTCTGCCCCATCCAAGCGGAGCACAGAAGCCCTTTCAGTGGCTAGCTTTCTTGTTCACTGCGAATAGGACTCTCCTAAGGAAGGGACAGACAGGAATCCAAAGCTTGTCTGTGCCTATACCAAAGAGGTGCAAGCACCTGCAACCAATCTTGCGGGATTCACCAAGGCTTGTCTGTGCCACCCCGAGACTCCACCCCATCCAAGCGATATACAGAAACACTTCTAGCTGAGACACTTATGATCCTCATAGCCAATTGGCTTGGAGATCAACGCTTCCCAGTGATACCAACAACAATCAAGGCTTAACAGCAAGACTGCACACAGAGCCAACAAAGGGCTACACCAAGATTGTCCACATCAGGTAAATAGGAGGCTGACCCACTGAACCATATAGGACACAAAGCCACCCTACCAACTCAGGGAAGCTGTGAAAATGCAGAGACTAGGAAACAGATCACAAACAAAAGAAATGGAGTACAAGAAGCGACTGGATATAGAGTTCAAAACCACGCTTATTAGGCTTTTCAAGAATTTCCTAGAAAAGGCCAATAAAATAAACAAGACCTATGAGGATATAAAAAGAGATCAACTAGAAATAAAGAATATATTGTCTGAAATAAAAAAAAATATTATACTGAGTCCTAAAAACAAAATGGAAGATCGCAAGAATCAAGTCAAAGATTTGGAACCAAAGAGCCAAAAGACACTCCTCCGCAGAAGCAAGAAGACAAGAGAATCCAGAAAGTTGAAGATAGTGTAAGAAACCTCTGGGACAATTTCAAATGAACCAACATCAGAATTATGGGGGTCCCAGAAGAAGAGAGAGAGCAAGATACAGAAAGAATACTGGAAGAAATAGTGACAGAAAACTTCCCCCACCTGGAGAAAGAAATAGACTTACAAGTCCAGGAAGCACACAGAACCCCAAACAAAAGTAATCCAAAGAGGACCACACCAAGACACATCATAATTAAAATGCCAAGGGTAAAAGACAAAGAAAGAATCTTACAAGCAGCAAGAGAAAAACAGTTAGTTACCTATAAGGGAGCACCCATATGATTGTCAGCTGATTTCTCAACAGAAACTATGCAGGCCAGAAGGGATTGGCAAGAAATATTCAAAGTGATGAATAGCAAGAACCTACAACCAAGATTACTCTACCCAGCAAAGTTATCATTCAGAATAGAAGGCCAGATAAAGAGCTTCACAGATCAGAAAAAGCTAAAGGAGTTCATCACCACCAAACCAGTATTATATGAAATGTTGAAAGGTATTCTTTAAGAAGAAGAAAAAAGTAAAGATAAAAATTATGATAAACAAATACATATCTATCAACAAGTGAATCTAAAAATCAAGATAATTAAAATTCTGAGGTACAGAATAAACTGTTGAATATAATAGAATCAGGGGCAAAGAAAAGGAGTGGATTGATAATTATCAGGGGGAAAGGGGTGTGGGGGTGCAGGAGGAGACTGGACTAAAATCGTACTTATAATATAATTTATGGATGAGGACAATGGGGTGGGGAGGTAAGGGCAGAGGGTGGGGTGGGAACTGGGTGGAAGGGAGCTATTGGGGGAAAAGGGAGAAACAATTGTAATAATCTGAGCAATAAAGATTTATTAAATTAAAAAATAAAAAAGTAAAAATAAATTTATGTCTAATCACTGGGGGATAAACATGAAACTAATGTAATATTGTCTGTCAACTATAATTGAAAATATAATAATTAATAATTAATTTTAAAACTAAAATATCTTTGTTAATCATAATAGAATAAAATGAAATCAATAGCCCTGGCTGGTGTGGATCAGTGGTTAGAGTGTTGGCTCATCACAGGGGCACAGGTTTGAGTCCCAGTCAAGGGCACATTTCTGTGTTGTAGTTCGATCCCCAGTTCCAGTCGGGGCACATATGAGAGGCAACCAATCAATGTGGCTCTCTCACATTAATCTCTCTCTCTCTCTTTTTCTGTCTATTTTGCTCTCCTCCTTCTTTTCACTCTCTGTAAAATTATCCTCAAGTGAGGATTAACAAACAAACAAACAAACAAACAGTCACTAAGGAAACTAGAAAAGACCTGAGGAAAGTGAGAGTAAGAGCACAACATCCCACTTCTGTGGACGGCCGCTGAGCAGCCCAGAGGACCATGCAGAACTGCAAGTGCACATGTGCAGAAGGAGAGGGATCAGCCAGCAGCCCGTCCCACACCTCCAGAAGCTGGAAGAGCGAGAACTAAGCCAAAGCAGTCCAAAGAAGAAAACAGCAGAGACTAGAATATGAGGAAAACAGAATAGAAAAACTGAAACAAATCAACAAAAGTAAGAATTTTTTTAAGAATCAATTAAATTGACAAACCCTTAGTTAAATAAGAAGAAAAGAGAAGCTCAAATAACTAATATCAGAAATTGAAAGAGAAAACATGACTATTGATACCACCGAAATAAAAAGGACTATAGAGAATACTATGAATCATTGGATACCATAGAAGAAATGGAAAAATTCTGTGAAACACAAAACCTACCAAGACTGAATTACAAAGAAACTGATAATCTGAACAGACCAGGAATGAGAAAAGAGATTGGATAAGCAATTAAAGACTTTCCAACAACAACAAAAAAAACACCAATGGCTTCACTAGAGAATTAATAATACTGGAGAATCATCTATCTCAGATACTTCCAAAAAGTTGAAGAGACATTTCTAAGTTTATTCTGTGAGACAATACCTTATACCAAAGCCAGACACAAATGTTACAAGAAAACTACCGTATCCATCAATATCCCTGATGAACATTGATGCAAAAATCCTCAACAAAATATTAGCAAATTGAACTCAGTATCATATTAAAAGGATCAGCCTGGCCAGTGTGGCTCAATGATTGACCATCAACCCATGAACCAGGAGGTCATGGTTCGAGTCCCAGTCAGGGAACATGCTCAGTTTGTGGGCTGGATCACCAGTGTGGGGCCTGCAGGAGGCAGCCGATTGATGATTCTCTCATTGTTGATGTTTCTATATTTCTTTTTCTCTCTCTTCCTCTCTGAAATCAGTTTTAAAAAAAGTTTTAAAAAAATTAAAAATGAAAGGATCATATGCCATGAGCAAGTGGAATTTATTTCTGGAATACAAGAATGGTTCACTAGGTGAAAGTCAGTCAGTGTAATACAGAAGGAAGGGAAATTGGCACAGAAAAACCATTTGACAAGATGCAACATCCTTTTGTGACAAGATCAATTAACAAATTAGGACTAGAAGAAGAAACCTAATTGCACACAACACAGGCCAATTTGACATGTATGCACACCTGGGCAGCCTCCCCAGGCCAGCACCCCTTCGTCCCCCTGGATGGGAACGTGGGGCACAGGGTCCCAGCCCCTGGTCCAGAGTCCTGGCCTGAGGGTGGGCTGACGAGACACAAATCAGAATCCCATGATGAAGAACATAGACCCGTTCCCCGCTGTGGCAAAGTAACATGCCATCTTCATGTCACGGACACAAAGCCCTGCCCGGGAGCACCCGCACACAGCCAGGCCTGGCCCTGCCCTCAGACACCGCTTCTCGGCCTGGCTCGCAGGGTGTCTGTCCTCCGGCGGCCCAGCACCAGCAGCACCGCTTTCTGGGAGGAGCCCGGCTCCCTGCCCGACACAGCGGCTCCCAGGCAGCTGCTCCGTGCTCCCCCTCCCATCCTGTGGCCCGTGTGTGCATGTGTGTGAGTGTGTGTGCGTGAGTGTGTGTGCATGTGCTTATGTGGGTGTGTGTCTCTGTGTGCATGTGAGTCTGTGTGCGTGTGAGTGTGTATATGTGCGTGTGAATGTGTGTGCGTGTGTGAGTGTATGTGCACGTGTGTGTGCATATGCTTATGTGTGTGTAAGTGTGTGTGCGCGCGTGTGAGTGTGTGTGTGTGAATGTGAGTGTGTGAGTGTGTGTGTGTGAGTGTGTGTGCGTGTGTGAGTGTGTGTGTGAGTGTGTGTGCGTGTGTGTGAGTGTGTGTGCGTGTGTGAGTGTGTGAGTGTGAGTGTGAGTGTGAGTGTGTGTGTGTGTGTGTGTGTGTGTGAGTGTGTGCGCGCCTCCCGCGGGCGCTGCGGGGGCAGAAGCCGGGGCGGGCGGGGGTCCTGGCCGCTGAACAGGCCGCCGGCTCCGGGCAGGGCAGCTGGGTGCTCCCGCCCGTCCAGGGGCCCTGCCATGTGGAGGCTGAGCAGGCCCCCACCTCCCGGCACCCACCTCCCGGCCCCCAGCGGAGCGAGGCCGCCCCTCAGACCGGGCAGGAGCACCCACCTCGGCCCGGTCGGCTCGGGCCCCCGGGGGGCCGCGCTGCGGGGCGGGCTCCTGGCCGGCCGGGGCCGCCTCGGGGGGCGGGGCCGGGAGGGCGGGGCCGCCGGGGCAGGAGAAGGGCCGGGCGGGCGCGCCGCGGGGCGGGCTGTCGATGCCGCTGTCGCGGTCCGGCTTGGCCGCAGGCTCCCCGGAGGGGCTCCTCGGGGCCGGGCCGGCGCGGAGGGCGGGCGCTGCGGGGACCCCTCCTGCGAGCTCCATCCTCGGGCCGGGCTCGGTGAGGGGCTGGCGGCCGGCACCTGGAGGAGACAGGGTGGTCAGTGCCAGCGGGGGGCGCACCCACCTGCCTCCCGGGCGGCCCCGGGCTCTCTCTGCGGAGCTGGAGGAAGGAGGCGGGGGCGGGGGGGGGGGACCCCGCAGGAGAGCACCTGCCGCTCCATGAAGCCAAGACAGACCAAGGCCACGGCCCGGGGCCCGGCGGGGGGGAGGGGGAGGGGGGAGGCAGGTCCGGAGGCCCGCAGGGAGGGGCAGGAGCCCCAGCAGCGTCCCCCGCGGGGGCAGCCCCGGCCAGCGGGACACTCAGGCCAGAGCTGAGCCGGCCCCGGCCCCGGGGGCGCCTGCCGGGGGGCCGTGTTCCGGGAGGGTGCAGAGCTCACCCAGGGTGCGGGCTCTCCCTGCCCCTCTAACCACCCCTCACAGGGGAGGGCACCTCAGGCGCAGACCTCCTACCCGCAGCCGGGAGGGGGCACACACCCTCTGGGCAGAGCGCAGGGGGGAGCGGGAGCCTGGCCGGGGCAGTGGGCCTTGGGAAGGGCATTCACATGTGGACACGAGCTCCCACATGCACACCCCTCCAAAGCATGTGTGTGTGCACATACACCGCCCAAGGGACCTTGTCCCAGGAGAGGCAACGGGTCCCAGGCAGGAGCCCGCAGCAGGCAGACAAGACGGGAGCTGAGTGACATTTCACTCAGACGCAGAGGCAGGTCTGGTCTCCATCTCCTGTGGTCAGGGCTGCCCCAAGCTCATCCTCCTTATGTCAGAGCCTTCCAACGCCACGTGGTGGCCGCCAGAGCCCGCTGGGAGGTGGGGAGCTGCAGCGAGGCGGCTGCGCCCGGCGGGGGCCACTTCTGCCCGTGGGCAGCGGGGCTGGGCTCACGGCGGCAGGCAGCCAGGCCCGCCTGGCCCTGGGACGCACGGAGCTCTGCCTCCGCTCTGACCGGGAAGGACCGGAGACCCCGGCGCCGGCGCAGCCTGCAGCTTGAGGAGCCGCTGCGTCAGGGGGGGCAGGTTGTGGCCAGCCCTGCCCCTTCCCCGCCCCCGCCTCCAAGAGCGGAACCAGGGACCTGGGCCTCTGCAACTCCCCAGCTGGGGACAAACCACTTCCTCTGCGCCCGCCCCACCCAGCCCCCCGCTGTCAGGCTCCGGAGGCTTGGAGTGGGGTCAGGTACAGGCAGCTGGTGCTGCGTGTGCCCGTTCTCTCCTGCAAGAACCGCGTCTGAGCGCCGGCCTGGCCCTGGCTCACCGCAGGCTGGCCCCGGCCCTCCCGGAGCTGGCTGCTCGCTGGCCTGCTGCCCGCTTCACGTCTCCATGACCGCTCGCCGTGGTCCCCGGAGGCCTGGGCTCGCCCTCTTCCCAAGGCACCACCTAGTCAGGGGCTGGCGCAGGCGGTCAGAGCTGCAGGCTCCAGGCCGAGGGTGTTGGAGGGCTCAGCCCTCAACTATGTCTGGGACCACTGCCCCTCCCGGCTCGGCCAGGAAGAGTCCAGTAGCCAGCTGGAGTGGGGTCCCCCTCCAGGGGTCAGCCGCCAGGACCGGCCACTCCTACGCTCAGGGTCATCTTTCCTGGAGACGGAATCACCGACGACCCAGCGCTGTCCCTGCTCTCCTCTCCAGGGACCGCACACTGGCTCTGCACGGCGACCGACTGTCAACAAGCGCAGAGGCCCCGGGGAGACGGCACAACCAGACACCGGTGCCTCCCCGGCGGGCCCAGTGCCGGTGGAGCTGGGAGTCGGTGGGTGGTTGAGACGGGACATCCCCAGAGCAGCAGAGTGGCCATGAGGTGGAGGTCAGCCCCCAAGCCTGGCCAGACACAGCTTCCACTGTGGACACAGCTCATCAGGGGCCTCGCCGCCTCGAGGCGTGTCCCCCTCCTGACCCCAGTGCCCCGGGACCCAGAAGCACCCTCGAGGCCCCAAGCCCCACCACTCACCTGCCCGGCGGCTTCTCTGGCCTCGGTGGGCGGAGCGCACTTCCTCTGTGCTTCCGGTGTCACAGGGACAGGGTGCATTTCCGCACGTCACACCCGGGCGGCCCAGAGGTGCAGGCTGGAGGCCCACCGCCCCCTCCGAGGCGTTTCCTAGCAAGCCCGCGGAACCCTCTTGGGCAGGAGCAGTGGGAGGGGCACAGAGGGGTGGGAAAAGGAGAGGCCTCCGAAAATGGGTTATTTCCAGGGCTGACGCCAGCCCTCCAACCAGACTCCCGCCTGCCCCCACCGGGAGGGCGCCCTGACCTTCCGGGGAAGGTGGATGCATGCATAAGGACACGGTCCTGCGAGGCTGAGCTCACAGACTCCACTCCGGCCAGTTTAATGGTGTTTCTTCATGCAGCCTTATCAGCTTTTTACAAAACAGTCATTTCCTGGGCATTGGCTTCCTCACTGCCACACGGGTCACGTGGGGTCCCCCCGGGGACAGCGCCCAACACAGGGAACTGAGTGACAGCGGGTCCAAGGGCCCCCCAGGTTCCTTCACTTGCTGCCAACTCCCTGGGCCCCTGTCCCCCCACACCCTGAGTGAGGCTCACAGCAGCTGGACGGGCCAGCTCCCTCCCTCGGTTCCTCCTGATATTTGAGGCTGTGTGCTGGGGGATGCGGCCCGCTCCCCTCCGCAGACAGGTCACTGTGAGCACACGCTCCCCTCCGTGCAGGTCAGTGAGAGCCCACCACCCCCAGCCCAAGTCTCAGTGGGACTCTGCCCAGGAACCCGCAGGACAGAGTGAGGACATGTCTGAAAGATGAGGCAGGGGGCCGGATAGCAGGACACAGGCCTTATTGGAGGAGAAGACCCTGCCGGGCTGCCTTCCAAGGAGGAAGAGCACACGTGAGGGGTGAAGGCACCTTTGAGGGCAGGAAAGGGAAGAGACTGGGCTTAGGGCACTCAGCACCAGCTGATTGGTGGTTTCATATAAGGCACATGATTAGGGACCTAGGGACTTAGGAATCAGGGGCTTAGGTTATTTGGCAGGTGCTGATTGGTGGTTCAGCGTGCAGTCCATATGAGGTGCTTGGTTAGTTGCTCAGGAATGTTCGGACTGCAGGTGGAGTTTACGTCATTCTCCGTCCCTCAGTTGTGGGAAGGGAGGCTCTATCAATGTCTGCCTGGCCCGCTGGCCGCCACCATCGCTGGGAACTCAGGCCAGCCCCTAACAGGTGGCAGAGGTGGTGGTCGCGTCTCAGAGGCCCGTGAGTCCACTTTCCAGAGCTTTCCACATGCACAGCCTGAGCCTCTTGGCCTGGTCACTCTGTAAAACGGAGAGAACTCAGGAGGCCGGCCCGTGGGAAGCACAGCACCCAGCAAGGTCCCCATGAGCACTGCTGAGTCGGGGACCGGCAGCGGACCTGCTGATCAGAGCCGGCCTCAGAGGCCCTGGCCAGGCAGCACAGTTGGTTAGAGCATCGTCCTGATAGGCCAAGGTCCCATTCCTGGTCAGGACAAACACTAGAATCAACCAAGGAAGGCATAAGTAAGCAAAACAGCAAAAAGACGTTTCTCTCTCTCCCTCCCTCTCTCTTTAAAATCAGTTACAATTTTAAAAAGTAAAATACTTTTTAAAAATGGCCTAAGAAGGTAGATGTGAATGTCAGCAGCATGGAAGCAGGCCTGGTGTAATGACCTGAAAGGTGAGGGGTCTTGGCAGGTGACTACAGAAGGTGGAGTTAAGTGAGGGGTGTGGCTGGAGAGTAGAACTGAGCTCAAGATCCTCTCAGCCTGGGGGTGTCGTCAGCAGGAGGCGACGCTTCCCAAGAAGAGCGTGCTTGTGGCAGGTACTTCCTGGTGACCCGAGCCTGAGGAGCCATGTCCACCACGAATAGTGCCAGGCCACTCTGTCAGCTTTGGGCTCCTCTCGAGATAGAAACTGGGCACCCTGTCTGATGGAGGGGGAGCCAGTTGGAACCTGCAGAAATGAGTGGTGACCTCTGAGACCAGGTCCTGCACCACATTGCAGCTTCAACCTTTCTCTCCTGAGTCATCGCTGTAGGGAACCAGCTGTCTTGTTGTGAGGAGATCCCTGTGTGGGGAGGAGGCCCCAGCCTGCACCCGCTGGCCATGAGGAAGTGAATCATGTGGAAGTGGATTCCTGGCCTCAGTCAAATCTTCAGATGAGCTCTCAGCCCTGACCAACATTAGACCCCAGCCTAAGGGAGACCTCAAATTAGAGCCACTCTGCACCCAAATTCCTGACCTGTGATAAGAGTTTACTAAATCTTGGGTAATTTGTTATGCTGTGGTAGGTGATATAACATGGATATTAGGAAAAAGGAGTAAGGGGTGATCTAAGAATAGGGAGCATCAGCTCACAGTGGAGAAGTGTCCACAGGGAATTAATGGCCCACATTCCTATCTCTCTGTCTAATTATTTCACTACTGATTCACTGGTCCAAACTGGGTCCTCAACCCTGAAGGGTTTTCTGGTGACAGTGGTGAAGTTTACTCTCAATAAGGCCTCCCTCCTGTTCTGCCCCCGCCCACTTAACGCCAGGGGCAGGGGCTGCTTTCTCCCAGCCTGCTGCACAGAGGCAGCTCTGTTAGAGAGGGACCTCCCACAGGTGGCAGCGGCCTGGCCAGCCTCCTCCTGCAGGCCTGGGGGCCTGTGTGGGGCCAGAGCTGGAAGAGCAGGTGCACAGAGGCCCTTCCACCAGGGGCGCCACTTAGCACTTAGCACTGACCAAGAACCCTGGGAAGGCTGAAACCGGTTTGGCTCAGTGGTAGAGCGTCAGTCTGCGGACTGAAAGGTCCCAGGTTCGATTCCGGTCAAGGGCATGTACCTTAGTTCCTGTCAAGGGCATGTACCTTGGAGGCAGCTGGTCGATGTTTCTCTCTTATCGACATTTCTAGCTCTCTATCTCTCGCCCTTCCTGTCTGTAAAATATCAATAAAATAATTTTTTTTTTAAAAAAAAGAAAGAAAAAAAAAAGACCCCTGGGAAGGAGAAGGCTGAGCCAGGGGGAGCCCACATCCTGAGGGGAGGCTCCTCCCA